GAATTCGAAATCGAGCATTCAACAAGTACAAAAGAATCATTAGTTAATTCAAACACCACAACGTTTCTGCTTCGAGTTTCATCGTTTCATAAGAACAATGGGCGATTGTTCAAGGTTGACTAATGTCATTCATTTCTTTAAACTAGACTCCTCCTTACTTTTTGATCAAACCAACGTTCCTATAACAATCCATTTTTATCTGAGGCTGATGCAGCAGTCTAAGCTGAGTGATTATAAGTTAGCCGAGAACCTTCTACAAAATATGAAACATTATGGCTAAAATGTGTTTTCACTGTCTTATTTTGTGAAAACATTATACTCCCTATTGTCTTCTACCGAATATTGAAATCTTTGTGTGTTTAAAATAAGAATTTCGAGCTTTATGCCTCTGGCTTGCTCGGTAAGTAACTTAACACAACTACCTTATCTTATATGGAACGTGGTGTATGTAAAAACCTTACAGTCTCTATGTTCCTCAATTTCAGGAGACCTCAAGACCGAAGGTTTATAATGAATTCGTTTCATTAGTTGTGGCGAGAAATAATATGTTGGTGAATTTTGAGTTACGGACAATACATTCTTTTTTAAATACTGCATTTGCTTAGATTTGACAGTACTTGATTTAATGTTGCTTATTTGTGAAATATTCGTATCGCAATCACACTCTATGTCTGGAAATTCGAATATAAGTGCGGATGCAGAGTCACTTGTTTGGTGGTCTGAAATACTATGACTTCTCAAGATGTAACCGAAATAATTCAGCCCGTTATCTTTTAAAAGTAGTGAACATCGAGTGGACATAACGATATAGCAGCTCAGGAACGCAGCTTTAGCTGTCAGTAGATTTTGTGCATCTGTAACGGCGAAATCGGCTGCAGTTGGATTTATGATCATAGGACCCTCCGAGCTAATCGGCCGACTTTTAATCCTTTCTGGTGCATTTTTGTCAAACACGGCGCCATTAAGTTATGAAAAGTAAAACACAGGTATCCTGCCATATAGTGTACTTTTTATTTGCTACCAACAGTTAACTACTGGTTTCGCTTAAGGCTGTGTGACCTAATCAACCAGTTATAAATAACGGTCATCTCTAGCACCCTACATTTAATAAAATTACAAAGCAGTGTCAGCCCACAAATTAGTGTGCTTAAGAAAAATAAAATTGAGTTTGCCTCAGCGTTTTCATTGGCTTACAAGTGTGTTTTATTTGGAGCTCGTAGATATTTTTTATTCATTTGGTTGATAAGTGTTGAATGTTAAAGTGCAATTTACACAAGAAATCTCAATGTAAGTACCTGAAGTTCTATGCAGCGTAAAAAGGTCAATGAAATCTCGATATCGAAAATGTGAAGCAAAATGAGAACAAATATATACCGTTGGTGTCCGTTACCGAGAAAATAAATCATTCCCTTTATTACAACACCCGTGGAAGAAATACAGTGGTATTAGTCATACTTACACAATCCTCAAAGCTGAACGTGATACAACTGGGAATATAGATATTCAACACCTAACACGCGAAGAAGGTCACTAAAGTTGAAGGAGAGAATATTCATGTATGCAATCAGATGTAATGGCTCAGCCACACAGACGAGGTCATTCTGTATAACTGGTCCTTATTTACGTTAAATATATAACCATATCTTCAGCTTAAATGTGTCCTTCAGAACTATTAAGCATCATATTTTTAATTATTACGATACGATGAGTCAGTATAAACCTCCAAGTAAGATCATGTGGATTAGTTAGTTATATCATGACAAATCTATACTTTTAGGATTGGGTCTATTATTATAGTACTCATAACGAAGTAGATCATTATTCTACAGAGAGGTTACATGTCAATGAAATCATGATATCTACTAAACACCAACCATTCCTAATAAACCTTCACATTTTGTGCGTTTAACACATATATTATGTGTATCTGATTAGAATTTCTCACAAATTGAGGACAATATACTTCAGATTCAACATTTATATCAGGTAATTTCTCTCATTTCGAAGACAAATCTGACCAAAATTATGGTAGAATGGGAAAAACATTTCTCTTTTCAATGTGGAAAGAGTTTAGTCTTTTTTCCTATAGGTACTGAAAGAAAAGAAATATGAGTAAAGAGTAGCTTTTGGCACGGATAACATAAACATAAAAACCAACACTAAATCTAAAAGAAGGGGGAGAGTTATAAATCCAAGGCTAGATTCCTTCATCTTTTTCACTACTTAGGATGATGTGAGACTGACAGGCAAAAGACTCTTCGATTAATAGATGTAATAGTATAGCATCCTCGGGTAGATGGCTAGATCATACAAGCAACAACATTCTAGAGAATGGGCCGTCTTCACCAAGTGCGCTGGTGAATTTCGTAAAAAAGCGAAGGCAGCTTCCATTATCACGGAAGCGAATATTCAGTGCTCTCAATAAAAAGATAGAATCAGAAATGTCGTAGTTAGTGTAGTTGATATACAATAAAAAAGTATCTATGTCAGAGTTACTAACGTAATCCCAAAATTAACTTGGATTACTATCAAGCAAAATTATGCGGAAAGTATAAATCTTATTGTCGAAATTCCCTTTTATCAGAAAACATAACAGATGCATCAACCCCATAAGTGAATCCTCCATCACCAACAACCCTGTTAAAAATCCGAACATTCGCTTTTCGTCCTTTCAATTTCGTAAACAATATCCTCCTTGAGAGTAGGCAGTGTTTAGGACCTCCCTGACAGGCTGTATGCGCATGGCCATGTGAGAGCATTTAGAGAAGAAGAGTGAACTCTCCCCCCCTCGACCGTCCCAGGACATTTGGGAGCTGTTCGCTGATCAGTCCTCTACCCATCACTTCATAAAGTCATAGACAGTTGAACTTGGCCATGTTAATAGGTGTAGACTACCTGGTTGAGATCCGCGTGATTATCATTACCAATAGTTAGGGACTTTGAATCACATGGCTCGAAATCGTTTGTAATGGTGCAGATGCATCCATTATTTGTCATCCCCGAAATTCTGAATTCCTCATAACCATTACTTTTGTTTTTATTTCACTAATTTATATTTTCTTTACAAATCGTGTCTGATATCTAATCTTTCCTATTACCACTGATACTGTTACTACCTCTAATATTCTAAGATTTGGTCTTATAATTCCATCTCTCTCTCTCTGTTATTTGGGTATGGGGACTTGAACCAATGTACACACGTACCAGGTTCTGCATTGTGACTGACTGTCTGACCGATAAATCCATAATTATCACTGTTACGAGAAACAAATATTGAGTTTGGAAACAATCGTTGTTATAAGTCAGAGATGGTGAATTTCACGTCGATTGAGTCTTGGATTCTACAGAATATTGACAAACTTTTTCATTGATAATGTTAAAAAGTCACATATGAATTTTTTTAACTCCACATTCCATAACTCATTATTAGTATAAGACTTTGAAGCAATAAGTTATAATTAATACTTCCCTAATCTAATCTAGATATAGTATATAGGAACGAAACAAAAGCAACATATTTACTTTTATTGAAAACATATGCTCACTACTGACTGGCTTCAAGATGTATATCCTGGAGTTCTAGTGAAAAGCAGTGACCAGTTGAGTTCAACCGGGTCAGTTGTGAGATGGTAACTCACTGGTGGATGTGTCGCTCAATTTCGTGGATTAGTTGAAGTTAGATATTAACACCGTTGGATGCCGGCTCAGTGGTCTAGTGGTTAAGTGGCCCTGGGTTTGAGTCCCGTGAGGCGGGGTCGTGGATGTTCACTGCTGAGGAGTCCCACAATAGGACGAAACGGCCTTCCAGTGCTTCCAGGTTTTCCATGGTGGACTCATGATCTCAACAATTGAAATGACTAAAATCTCCACAAAACCCCCTTCTGAAAATAATTTTCATTATGAACTAATATCAGTTAAGAAAACCGTTGGATTTTTCACTCAGTAAAATAATCACAATGAAATCCTACATTACAGTTGTATTTAATTCCATTTTCTATGTTTTTATTATGGTCAAGATCCACTGGATTGAGTCGCGTTGCTCGGTTGACGGGCCTAACTTTTATATTTGATCATGTAATTGATGACTATCGATAGAGCAAATTATTATATCCAGTGATTGTAGTTAGATTTGACTGGTTAATTCAAGTCAGTCAGTTATATACTATGTGGAACGCCTGACACTTGCTCATCGGTCCAAGTTGCCACACCACACACAGCGAGGTGGAATTATCAAGAAAGATTCGATTGCTTATAACTTCATGGACTGGTGCCACGTCTTGGTATAGTCATCCTTAACTTTCTTTCAGTCTACTCTTACACCTGACATCACCTGTCATGGTAGGTGGTGTTTGAGCATACGTAACACACGTGCTAACCATCTCAGTTTACTACATCTTCAACCGGTTATGTCTACCTATATGATTATAGTTTTCAATATCCTTGATATGAAGCTTGTCGACATTTCTACCCTCTTTACATGAAAATACTAGACATTTTTGTATTGTGTTTTAGTAAGTTTACTATCTTCATTGCAAATGTTTATTAAAGTTGTATATCAAGGGGTCATGTTTCACTAGTTATTAAGTGTATAAATGAAATAGGACCAGATAAACATGGTTTTCGAACAACAGTATCATGGGTAAATCCTAATTTTAGTCGTATCCACAGATAATTCAAGCAGTTAACTACAAATACAGTATGTGAATCAATTTTCCGAAGAAAGACATGGATTTCATTTTATGACGTATTCACAGAGAAGAAAACGAGATTACAAACCCAAGGCGAGGAGAATTGAACGCCAGTTTATGTAAGAAGCTTCCGGCAATGGGAGCCTACGGGTTTTTCGTTCAAACTTCATCCTATTCATACCGCTAATAGCCTTCAAATAAAAAAATACCCCAGTTAAGTACATAGGACTGTGCTTGGTAAATGAGTTCCACTGTTTATGTCCCTAAATAAGTCACCCAAACTCTTTGATGAGTTTTTTGTTTTATTCATAGGCTATTTGCTGTCCAGATGGAGAACATTGTTGCCCTCATGGTTCAGTCTGCGATATGGTGCATCGCTCATGTAAACCAGCTAAGTCCAATGAAATCCCAGAGACAAAAGAATCTTCTCACACCTTACACCTCGTATCAGCATCAGCTCCTGCACGTCTCAACCCATCTAAAGCAGACTGGGGAAAAAAGATTCATAAACTGTCAGCCAAGTATTTACTAGCTTATTCTGGTGTCGTATGTCCAGATCCATTATATGAATGCCCAGCTAATACAACTTGTTGTCCTAGTCCAGATGAAACATGGGCATGTTGCCCTATTCCCCAAGTAAGTTTTTTTATATTATCTATGAATTTATAATTCAGAACTGTGTTAAAATGTCCACAAATCAATATAAACCTCCTGATTTCTTGTGTTCATTTTTAATCTGAGTTATATTGTTATTTATATTATAAAAGAATTATCCTACATTTCACAGTAACGTTCCTCGCTTGATTAAGATCGCTCATTATCATATTGCTAATTAAAATGTAAAGGGTTTTTTTCAGGTTACTTAATATGTACTGATTTTTACGCAGAATTAGAAATTCAGATTTGGAACTTATATATTTATAAAGCTGGAATGTATATAGCAAATATAATTCATTAGTGTTGAGTAAATTAGCCAAGTGACATAATTCCATACTTCATTAGTAACATTTTTAATCAATTTTATTGGGTTAGATTGGATAATGTTGGCTATCCAGTAGTGAACTACTAAAGATTTTTGTTTCATATATTAACAAACAATCATAATGCAATATCTAACACAAAAATACACTAGTTCAAGTGACTGCGTCGCCCCTGACTGTTGCTTCCACCTTGATGTGGTGATCGGGCTTGCCTATCATGATGAAGCAATCGAGCTTTACTGGATGGAACAATTGTGCCAGACAGGTCGGCTGAAGGGTGGTAAGACTAAAAGCAGCAAGCCTAAGACCAGGCAAAATCATACTGGCGACTGTACAGAGGTGTGACGGCAGTAAGGTGCTTCCCTTAGACAACCAGCATAACAACGATGCCGCCGGACTAAAAGGGAGGGTGAAGTTAGAAATGGTCGACCGTAAACATACACACCTCACCGTATCCCAAAGATATCGGTCACCAGTGGTAAGGTCACAACAAGTCAGAAGCTAACACAAAGATTACTCACAGAAATTTCGTGTGTGTCCGGCCTCAAGTAGTTGTCCCTTGGGCATTGTGGTCACGCTCTCAGTTGACCGAACCAACTCTAACCGAATTTCCTTTTCAGTTACCTCTAGAAGGGCCCTCCCACGGTGTGGGCAACCGGGAAATGAAAACCGCCTTCATACCTCTAACAGCACTCATGACTGCAGCGCCTCAACAAGGAATCCTCAAAACCGAACGTAAATAATATGAAAATAACCACCTAATATACACTTGTTTGTGTCACATTGTGGATATTTTAAACATGGCAGTAAAACTCCCACTCTTAAGAGTGGATAACTTCATTAAGCATATCGTTGAACCAAATATGGTGGTTGACAATTTTCAGTTGTACGGGGAAGGGTCGTTAACATTGTGTTATACGAAATACGATTAGGACATATCATCCAATCACCTGTTCTCGATTAACTACTAGCATTGTGTTACTCCTAACACTACTATTTACCATATTTTGTCATTGTCTGTTTGAATTTGGACGATAGATATTTTGCATTTTCAAGACCTTAATATCTTATTTAATCTTATTCATAACCAGCATAATTTCATATGTTGTTGTGTAGAATATCACTTTTTAGTACGAATGTAATTTAGTGAACGAAGTTAAAAACTGATTACCAGTTTTGATCGAATGTAAAATAGTTCTTAATCTAAACATAACGTCAATATTAGAAACTATTTACTAAACAATTTTATTTCTGTATTACTTGTTCACTATTTCTTTCATCTATCTCTTATATCTACATTTAGTTAGGCTATCGTGATATTCTTTTCTTCATATTATGTAGACTGTCCCCTTTCCTGGTGTTTATAACGAAGCTTTGAATAAGTCCCTTGAACAAATGTACAGTAATAAAAATAGTTCACATTCTGTCGCAAATTTTAATTTGATTTATATGAGCTTATCAACATTGAATGGTACACAATTGTGTCCAGATGCAAAATCTCGCTGTAGCGATGAACAAACATGTTGCAAACTAAAAACTGGAGAGTGGGGTTGCTGTCCTGTGAAAAATGTGAGTAACTTACTGAAATGTTTAGAATTAGTGGGGTTCTACTAAACATTCAACAGGTTTGACTTGTTATTTTTTTGCCATATTATCTCATAGTGATTAAAACTTAACTACTTACGTTAAACCTATCCGATATTTAAGGCTTGAATCCTTAATAGTGTAAAAATACAACCAGATATGTTTTTGCCCCAAATGCCCTGGTACGGCCGAGAGTGGGGAGAGTCCGCTCTCCCTCGCGAAATGCTCTCACATGGCCACGCATATATAGCCTCTGCCAGGGAAGTCCTACTCACTGCCTTCTCGCACTACGGGTGTTGTTTACGAAATTGAGAGGACGGAAAGCGAATGTCTGGCACTTTAACCGGGTTGGTGGACACGGAGAGTTGGAAAACCCTCATTCCAAACCAATGGTGCACATTGACTTCAGTATGCTGAAGGAACAAATGGCGTATGAACCAATCGTTGGTCATTGGCTACCATGGGACTGCATCTCCTTACGATGCTCCACTGCCTTGTGGATCAGACCTTCAAGTAGAAGGCTCCGGGTGTGGCCTCCTATGGAAACTACTTGCTTCGGTTTGGGCACCCGGGCAGTATCACATCCCTCACATATATCAATTGAGATATGTGTGGCGCATATGTATTTGGTGCCTCCTTGTACCAATGTCTATGTGTTAAAATAAAGAAAATCAATAATAAAGATATGTTTTTGCCATATATATATATATATATATATATATATATATATATATATATATATATATATATATATATATATTTGAACACAAATACTGGTAAAGTGGGCACCAGATACATATGCGCCGCACAAATCTCATTTGGTCAGTGTGAGGGCTATGATACTGCCTGGGTGCCCAAACCGAAACAGTCGGTTTTTTTAGCAGACCACACCCAGAGCCTTAAACCTAAAGGTCTGATCCACAAGGCAGTGGAGCATCGTATGGAGATGCGGTCCCATGGTAGCCGGTCACCAACGATTGGTTCATACGCCATTTGTTCTCTCAGGATACTGGAGCCATTGTGCACCATTGGTTTAGAATCAGGGTTTCTCAACTCCCCTAGGTGGACTCGCCGTGTCCACCGGCCCGGTTAAAGCCTCTGTCGGACATTCGCTTTCCACCCTATCAATTTCGTAAACAACACCCGTAGTGCGAGAAGGCAGTGAGTAGGAGTCCCCTGGTAGCGCCTGTATACGCGTGACCATGTGAGAGCATTTGGAGAGGGAGAGCGGACTCCCCACTCTCGACCGTACCAGGACACTTGAGGGCATATATATATATATATATATATATATATATATATATATATATATATATATATATATATATATATATATATATATATATTCAATTTTTTGTTTCTTGTGGACCTTTGTTTTTCTCTGACATTAGAAAGAGTCATCCTATAAATATCTCAAATAATAAGTTATAGGGATTTGTTGTTAGTTATATGAAACATAGAAAATCATAAGTTTGTACATCACTCAATTCATGTTTCATTATTGTTTTACATTTTATTCGGTTCATTGTTTTCACCAAAATGAGTTACCATGAATTTTGTTACAATTCACTCCAGTCGATGGTTTCATTTCTTCACTAGTTTTAATTGATAAAATCATGTGTAGATTCAAATCTGTTGTAAATTATTATCTGTTAAAGTTATGTGTTACTGTTGGGAATGCTAGATACCCAGAACTCACTTGATAAATGTTTAGTTTTGTAATTTTATTTTGGACATTTGAATTTCTTGCTTTCCCGCCAAAAGTTTTCATTTTTACCTTCATATCATACTTCCCACTTGTCAGGACCTTAAATATGACGTTTTGCAAAGATATTTGTGCCTGTTGTTGTTTGTACCTCTAACTGCTTGTGAAATACATTTCCCTCCTGTGAAACTTAACTTCTCTCGTTAGTTAGCGGGGCTTGGGATGCATCAGAATTGTTAATTTATTTGATCATTGTATCATTGAGTTTCCGTTCCATTCGCAGATTTGGGCGATCTATTAATCTCTGCAAATATAACAGTTACATTCTTACAGAATTTAATCTATGAAAATGATAAATATACTTCGTTACATATATGTGATGTTTATCAAAGGTCAATTAATATAAAGTGTTACTTAGTATCTAAATTATTTGTAATGCATGAATTAGAACATGGTGTGATGAATATTTTTTTTCTCTGTTGGTGATTAGCTACTTTGTTTTGAAACATTTTACTTATTTCAAATATAAGATTAAGTTTTGTCTTAATAGGTGGCAAGTTTTGAGAGAGAGAGAGAGAGAAATCATATTTCAGTGTGTAATATTGCGTGATTTTATTTCAAAATAACAGATATTTTCTTGTTGTTGTTATTGGTAATTCACTATTTATATTTATTTATTTATTTATTTGAACACATAAATATTGGTACAAGAGGGGCACCAAATATATATGTGCCACACAAAACAATGAGAATTTGAAGAGAAGAAGGAAAAAAAGGTAAGGAGCGTTAAAAAGAAAAAGAGAACAATAACGAACAGATTAGTGTAAGGTAGTGTGAAAATAATAATAATGGGGGGAAACAGGAACGTAAATCAGAAGAGATCTTTCAGTTAAGGAAGATACAACCACTTTTTGTGAAGAAAATAAAAGAAGGTTACAGCAGGATCGCCACTGGCTTCTATTCTGAGCCATATCTAATAACGTCTCTAGCAACTGTGTAACACCATTTCTCGGACCCCAGCCAGGGAGTCGTGAAGGACTAACACAAGCCAACCCTTTGTTATTTCTAGTGATAACATGGTTTTGCCGTTTATCTTCATAATTTTCATTGTATCCACAAATTCAAAGACGTCTTTAACACTATGCTTAACCAGTTGTTGGTGCAATGGTTCTAATAATTTAACTATCCATTTTGCTGTTAAATTGTATGTTGAGTTTGCCATATCCAGTTTCGGGCGTAAAGGAACATCAGGTTTATGAATCTTAGGTAGACCATATAGTCGAGGGGTATGTGTTCCCGAAGGCTTGAGCGTATTGTAGGTATGCTCAGTGATGTATTGATGTTATTTTAAAATTTTTAATGCTGCAGTCAATTGTCGTTCGGTCTTTTCATTGAGGTCTTCACATGACCCAAGCTTTTGGAATTTGGTTTGATCACTCAGTAGGGAATTCATCATACCTATGTAATCTGTCTTGTTTAGAATTACAGTGCAACTATTATACTTATTGTGACTGAACACTTTACTCCAAATCATCCTGACCTTTATTGAATGACCTTTCTAATTTGTAAATAATACAATTTTGAAGTATATATATCGTAACAGATGCAAACGTACACCATTTTCAACGCATAACATTATCAAATTCATTAATACTTGCCTTATTTTTGGCCTTTGTAAAATATTTTAGTGATGGACTTATAACTGTAGAGCCTGATAATAGTGTATCATTCACAAATATAGCCTACTGTGAAAAAGGTAGTAGTATCTTACAAATTAAATTGAGTGAATCACTTACCTTAAACTCCTTAAATAATGCATGGAATTAGTAAATTTAATGTTTATTCATAATAATATAATGTCTAATTGACGTTAATGAGTTGTAAACATTCAATGTGTTTCTTTCTTGATTATATGCAAAATATCGTAAAGGCTCCTATACACAATCACTTCAAACAAAATGAAGATAAAATTACAAAAAAAAACTTTCTGCTTATAGTAGTCACCAATGAATTTTTATCAATATAATCTTTTTATTCTATTCCTTAGGCTGTATGTTGCAGTGATGGAGAACACTGTTGTCCTGATGGTTATGTATGTGATTTATCTGTTGGAGAGTGTATAAATCGTTCTAAATCATCAAATGAATTGAAAAAGTTTTTACCAAACATTAATTTATCATCATTACCAACAAAAATTGGATATAATAATCGTTGTCCTAACAGTGATGTTTATTGTGAAGATAATTCAACTTGTTGTGAACATGATAAGGAATGGGGTTGTTGCTTGTTCTCAAATGTAATTTTATTATATTACATTGTATAAATATTCTTTTGATTAAATCTCAAGATTTTAAATTCAATCCTTTAAGTTAACTCATAGATAATTAATGCTTGAAACTTTCAATATTATGCGATAGTTTCATTTGTCTTTAATTTAGATTGGATGCAAATTTTTATATGAAAAACTGATTGTTCGCATGCCGTTGAATACACTTAAAGGTAATTCCTGGACTTCTAGTGAGAAATCTTGATTATGGAAGTTGAGTTGTGTTGGGCTTTAGACAGTTGTTCCCAGTGTTCGTACAATATCGCGAAATATCTGAAATTTGACTTGTAAACTTTTGAATCCTTCCTCAGTGGTTCAAATTTTTAGTGCTTGTCGTTGAAATTATTAGTCCTAAGTTCGATTCCTGGTGGGATCGTGGATGCCCACTACCACTGAGTATTTCAACACTAAGACGAAACAGTTGTATAGTGCTTTTAAGATTTCAGTAATTGCCTAAGATTAATCGACGATACTACTCAAACCGGTTAGATTATAAACAATAAATAACGCTGAATTGGATGTTAATATGTACGAAGTTGAATGGTGCAATTAGCATGCAATTAACTTACATCATTCGAAGTCATTCCAACTTCAAATAGCCGTTTCCACTAAGAATTGGAAATCAGTTCAACCAATAAACATTGAATTATATCAATGGTTTCCTGTTTAACCTGCAAATAGTTATTCAATCAGTTTTAAAAATGTATTCTTAAAATCTATGATAAATAGAACAGTTATACTGGAATATGTATATCTGGCTATCATATTTCGCAAATATAATAAACGGACATTAATTAACCGTACTCTTATAATGTTCATAATGCTAATTAATGTCTTTGATGAGGAAAAACAAGCAAAGAGCATTAAACTGTAGCTGATACAGAAGAATAGGGTGTATATCATGATTTATGTGTTGAGAATGCTAATTTAAATCTCTTTTGTAACTTAGGTACTTTTAAAAAATTTTCTATCTTACTAAACTTAGGATTTGTAATTAACAATATCGGCGAGACTATAATTTATGGACGAACCAATCAGGTACGAGATAACGGGTCTTGGATTTCGACGCGAAATTCATCCATTTGGCAATATACTGTTTTGGCATTATATCTGATGTCAGTTTGTAATGAGGATCCTAAATCTAATTCGTAACCTTAACTATCAACTGTGAACAATCGTTCTAATTCCTCAAACTGATTTATAACCTTCATTTGGTTCTAGTTAATAGGTGGTCACTCTAGTGTTGCTGAAAGGTCGTCGATAAATTATAGTCTCACCACAATATCATCTATGCGTTTCAATACGTTTACTCATGATGTGATAATGTTATCCAATAATCACCAATTGGAGCTATTTGTTCTCAACTCGAAGTTATATATATATCGTTTCTACATTTGAAACTTGTATTTTACTTTTTAAAGGCAGTCTGTTGCTCCGATGGTATTCATTGTTGTCCAGCAAATACAATTTGTGATTTAAAGGCAGAAATGTGTATTGGTGAATCAGGTGATATTCTCACTAAACTACAATTGAAATCTAAACCTAAATCTATTTCATTCAAATATAATTCACGTATTAGTATTTGCTCTGATATGAAATCAGTTTGTATTAATGGTACATGTTGTTCCAATGTAAATGATCAATTATCAACACTTTGTTGTCCTTATGAAAATGTATGTTTTGAAAGTCTATTTATTGTTATGTGTTATATTTTAACATTCGATTTGAATTTGTTTCCTCTATGTTTTTTTTCCGAGATGGACGGTTTATAACTGGATGTACTTGCACCTCAGAGTTGATGTTCACTCTGGGACTCGAACCCCGTACTGTTCTCTTCAAACTCCATCGCGTTATCCACTTAGCTACTGAGTCCTGATAGCCACTTGCTTGTGCAATGGGGTGAAGTTTGAATTCACTTGATGCTGTTTATTTTGAATCTTCCCATTGATGTTTAGGACTGCAATTGATCAATCTCAGTGATGTCTTATATATTTTTTGTTGGATAAACGGTACTATAAGTTTTAGAATTAATGAATAGTGAGTAATAGTAGGATTCAGTAATCGCGTTTCGTCTTATTTTGAACTTATCATCTGAATATATCTGCATCCTATCATCGATGTTTAGAGTGTCATGTAATTTATAACACTATTCGTTCTTAGTTAAAATATAAAGTGTCTTTTATGTATTTATTTATTTAAACACATAAACATTGGTACAAGGGAGCGCCAAATATACACGTGTCATACTTCGTCATTTGATTTGTTTGAGGGCTGGAATACTACCTGGAAGCCTCCCGGACAGGTAAACGGTTGGTGACTGTCGTACTCCATCATGCTTTACTGTGTTTTTAGACAATTTGTTAGTAGTCATTCTATTTGTGTTCCGTTATTATTGTTAATTAGGTCAATATTCAAGGCGAAGTCGACATCATAAGTTGATAGTTATAGAAAAATTCAAAGATGTACTTTGAAATCGTTTGTTTAATTTTAAAAAAACATTTCAGTAGTATATGTATTCATAATGATGTAAATTTATCATATGATTGATTCATCAGTCAGTCAGTCCAATTACTTGACTAATATGATACAATTGACCACAGATGCCTCAGAAATATTGCTGGCGTCTGCTGGGATCACCGGGTAAGTAACAGTGAGGTTAGACGCAGGGTATTAGGCAATGATGGTAAATCAGTCGATGAGGTTGTGAATCTTCATCGACTGAGATGGTTGGGCCACGTGTTACGTATGCCCGAACACCGATTACCACGACGTGCAATGCTAACCGGTATTGGAGATGGTTGGAAGAAAGTTAGGGGCGGCCAAACCAAAACGTGGCATCAGTGCTTGAAGTCACTAACTTCTAGTCTGAGCCATGTTGGTAGATGCAGACTACTTGGTTGGGGTCCGCGTGACTATCGTAACCAATGGTTGGAGACTCTTGGTGACATAGCTCAGAATCGATCACAATGGCGTAGGTGTATACACTCTCTATCTTCCCTTAAACTAAGAGATTAAAATCACTTCATATCTTTCTTCCTGTACTATATACTTATATGCAATCTTTCTTTTATATATTACCACCATTGAATTAACTACTTTTATGAATCCGGTGTTCATCTTGTTGTACTAATGTGGTGAGGTATGGCAACTTGGACTGATGCATATATGTGCCTGGTCCTACGTTGTAGCTGACTGACTAACTGATGATACAATTTTTATTATAATTTTCAGGCCGTTTGTTGCAACGATGGTGAACATTGTTGCCCAAAGGGTACAACATGCGATATGGTCAATGGTGGTTGTATTATTTCACAAGAAAATTTATCAAAATCTAATTCTGTTCCATTGCTTACCAAGATCTCAGCTTTACATGTTACTTCCAAAAATAACACACAGTCTACTGTTTTCACACAAGTTTGTCCTGGTGGTAAAGCGAAATGTCCAGATAGTGCAACATGTTGTAAATTATCTAGTGGGGAATATGCATGTTGTCCAATCCCAAATGTAAGTTTCCATCAAAATAGGAGTTTTATTAATATAAATTAGTAATCATACTTCGATAACAAGGTTGCAGACTTTATTCTTTTTTTTACTTAAGTTGAGTTATGATAAGTCAGTCCGCCTACTTGAACATTTGTTTCTAACTTTCCAGCCGCTTCCTATAACCACAGATTACGCATACGCCTAAACTTGAACAATAGGAAAAAGGAGAGAAATGTGAGTCAGCTCTTTACTTAAAAATGAGTTATGTCAGTCACTCATACTGTATAACCTGTTACGTGTGTACATCGGTTCAAGTCCCCATACCCAAATAACATATATATATATATATATATATATATATATATATATATGAAATTATAAGACCAAATCTTAGAATATTAGAGGTAGTAACAGTAACAGTGGTAATAGGAAAGATTAGATATCAGACACGATTTGTAAAGAAAATATAAATTAGTGAAATAAAAACAAAAGTAATGGTTATGAGGAATTCAGAATTTCGGGGATGACAAATAATGGATGCATCTGCACCATTACAAACGATTTTGAGCCATGTGATTCAAAGTCCCTAACTATTGGTAATGATAATCACGCGGATCTCAACCAGGTAGTCTACACCTATTAACATGGCCAAGTTCAACTGTCTATGACTTTATGGACTGACGGCATGTTTTGGTTTTGCCGCCCCTAGCTTTCTTCCGGATTACTCCTACACCACATAACATCGCCCTATGGAGATTATAAAAGTTCGAATCCGTTGATAAATATCGTGTGCCATATCACCAATCGCAGTCCTAATTCTACTTTAATCTATTTCGCGTCTACCACTTTCTCAATAGCCCAGTTTCCTCAATTTGTATAAATACATGCTCGATCAGTACCATCAGCTGTAAATCAAACAACTCACCTCCTATTGGTCCGCTATTCATACACTCCTCTCTATGCCCTGCCCTGAGTTGAGGAGTAGCAACCAGCCTCTCCTACGTTCCTATTTCAAACAGACGCGTTTCTTATACAGGCATACCAGACCGCATTACACCATAGAACAAGTCAATGGTGGTTGTGTATGGGAGAGGGTGTAAATAATGTAATGAGAACAAAATAGGTATAGTAAGTCGTACAACAGTATGGAATGAGTCAACTGAAATCCTCCAGCGACGTGCAATGCTAACCGGTGTAGGGGTTGGTTGGAAGAAAGTTAGGGGCGGCCAAACCAAAACGTGGCATCAGTGCTTGAAGTCACTAACTTCTAGTCTGAGCCATGTTGGTAGATGCAGACTACTTGGTTGGGGTCCGCGTGACTTTCGTAACCAATGGTTGGAGACTATTGGTGACATGGCTCAGAATCGATCACAATGGCGTCGGTGTATACACTCTTTGTCTTCCCTTAAACTAAGAGATTAAAATCACTTCATATCTTTCTTCCTGTACTATATACTTATATGCAATCTTTCTTTTATATATTACCACCATTGAATTAACTACTTTTATGAATCCGGTGTTCATCTTGTTGTACTAATGTGGTGAGGTATGGCAACTTGGACTGATGCATATATGTGCCTGGTCCTACGTTGTAGCTGACTGACTAACTGATGATACAATTTTTATTATAATTTTCAGGCCGTTTGTTGCAACGATGGTGAACATTGTTGCCCAAAGGGTACAACATGCGATATGGTCAATGGTGGTTGTATTATTTCACAAGAAAATTTATCAAAATCTAATTCTGTTCCATTGCTTACCAAGATCTCAGCTTTACATGTTACTTCCAAAAATAACACACAGTCTACTGTTTTCACACAAGTTTGTCCTGGTGGTAAAGCGAAATGTCCAGATAGTGCAACATGTTGTAAATTATCTAGTGGGGAATATGCATGTTGTCCAATCCCAAATGTAAGTTTCCATCAAAATAGGAGTTTTATTAATATAAATTAGTAATCATACTTCGATAACAAGGTTGCAGACTTTATTCTTTTTTTTACTTAAGTTGAGTTATGATAAGTCAGTCCGCCTACTTGAACATTTGTTTCTAACTTTCCAGCCGCTTCCTATAACCACAGATTACGCATACGCCTAAACTTGAACAATAGGAAAAAGGAGAGAAATGTGAGTCAGCTCTTTACTTAAAAATGAGTTATGTCAGTCACTCATACTGTATAACCTGTTACGTGTGTACATCGGTTCAAGTCCCCATACCCAAATAACATATATATATATATATATATATATATATATATATATGAAATTATAAGACCAAATCTTAGAATATTAGAGGTAGTAACAGTAACAGTGGTAATAGGAAAGATTAGATATCAGACACGATTTGTAAAGAAAATATAAATTAGTGAAATAAAAACAAAAGTAATGGTTATGAGGAATTCAGAATTTCGGGGATGACAAATAATGGATGCATCTGCACCATTACAAACGATTTTGAGCCATGTGATTCAAAGTCCCTAACTATTGGTAATGATAATCACGCGGATCTCAACCAGGTAGTCTACACCTATTAACATGGCCAAGTTCAACTGTCTATGACTTTATGGACTGACGGCATGTTTTGGTTTTGCCGCCCCTAGCTTTCTTCCGGATTACTCCTACACCACATAACATCGCCCTATGGAGATTATAAAAGTTCGAATCCGTTGATAAATATCGTGTGCCATATCACCAATCGCAGTCCTAATTCTACTTTAATCTATTTCGCGTCTACCACTTTCTCAATAGCCCAGTTTCCTCAATTTGTATAAATACATGCTCGATCAGTACCATCAGCTGTAAATCAAACAACTCACCTCCTATTGGTCCGCTATTCATACACTCCTCTCTATGCCCTGCCCTGAGTTGAGGAGTAGCAACCAGCCTCTCCTACGTTCCTATTTCAAACAGACGCGTTTCTTATACAGGCATACCAGACCGCATTACACCATAGAACAAGTCAATGGTGGTTGTGTATGGGAGAGGGTGTAAATAATGTAATGAGAACAAAATAGGTATAGTAAGTCGTACAACAGTATGGAATGAGTCAACTGAAATCCTCCAGCGACGTGCAATGCTAACCGGTGTAGGGGTTGGTTGGAAGAAAGTTAGGGGCGGCCAAACCAAAACGTGGCATCAGTGCTTGAAGTCACTAACTTCTAGTCTGAGCCATGTTGGTAGATGCAGACTACTTGGTTGGGGTCCGCGTGACTTTCGTAACCAATGGTTGGAGACTATTGGTGACATGGCTCAGAATCGATCACAATGGCGTCGGTGTATACACTCTTTGTCTTCCCTTAAACTAAGAGATTAAAATCACTTCATATCTTTCTTTCTACGAACTAATTCTTCCTTCCTATACTATATCCTTATTGCAACCTATGACCTAACCACTCCTATGAATCCGGTGTTCATCTTGTTGTGCTAATGAGGTATGGCAACCTGGACCGATGTACATATGTGCCTGGTCCTACGTTGTAGCTGACTGACTGACTGACTGACTATGATAAATGGTATATATAACAATTTTTCAATAACCATGGCTTCTATAAATCTAAGAATAAGCCCTTGATAATTTCTGTACAAAGCCTTAAAGACTATCTCAGGGTTGATCCTTTGATTTGTTTCAATTGTGCTTTACAATCTAGGAACCTGGTTTTCTACTTTCTGCATTTATTCAGTTGATTAAGACTCAATATTCATTGAGCTATTTTGGCATATGCTCCATCACAGCTGATTAAATGGAGAAGTAATCAAAAATTCTGTAGTAAAGGAACAAACACTCGTTAATTTCAGCATAACTTTGAATCGTTTTGACATAATTAAGAATTCGCTGTTGATGATGAGGATTTTGAACATGTTTTCTTAGTTGATTGTTTTAATCTTTCATTGTCTTTCTAGATAGAGTCATCTAAAGATGCTTTTTTAAAGGATATTTTAGTGATGTTGTTTAGGACGATTAAAGCTCCATAGACCATTGAACCAACCAGTTCAGGCGAACAGAATACATTCAAAATTTCGAAAACTTGTTCAATATTTTATTGATTACGAACCAATTTAATTTAGTTTACCATTAAAAATATGGAAGCACTGGACAACTGTTTCGTCCTTGTATGGAACTTCTCAGTGGTGGTGCACATTTATAACACCGATATGGGGGACCGAACCCAATACCCTGTTTAATATTGATAGAAATGATTTGAATATCTGAATGCATCATTAACAATTAAAACGTTTGTCAATAGTTTTTGTTTTATTAACATATTGAGATAAAGCAACGTTTTGGCTTTTGTAACAACAAAGTTTTCTATGATAAAGGTACTTGTCATCTAGTTTCAATGTTAAAGATGCTACCAATCTCTCCCAATCTTAATTTTTCCCCAACCGTAGTTAAAAACAGTAGTCGGCGTTTAGATTCGTATGAACATAGGTTCGTTGGGTAAAGGAAATATGAAGCTTTGTGGCAGGCCTATTAGCTACGGACAACTCAATCATGTTTCAGAGAACACCTTTTGGGTTTTTCGCGTTATCCATTCTGTTTTGATGACTAAATACCATTCTGGCATTGTAGTTTATTTCAGTTCCGAATTACCTTGATGAAACTAGTTGGTAGAAGTTTCTTAATTTGGTATTGTAGTATTGCTATGTTCGTATATAAACTACAGTTTTGCTTTAAAAAAAATTAATTTGTCTCCTGGTTTTACAGTTTTCTTTTGTTTCCTATCTTATTAAAAATTTCATTTGGTATATTCATCTATAAATAATGAATGACACAAATGTAGTGCCATTTATGACTTTAATTACTCTCGAATTCCTCCTTTCTATTAAATGGATACTAAATTGCTTTCAATGAACACTGAACGATTTATCCGCGTATACAACTCATTCACTCTACACTAGATACTCCGCCAGGATTATTCTATCAGATATCAATAAAAATAAAATCAAAAACATAACTGATTTGAATAATACATGCATTAGCCAACAACCGACAATAATTAAACACAAGAGGTCGGGAAATATCTATGATACATCATCAAATACCTGTCAGACTATCTACCAGGTTTGTCATGGTAACCCAACCAGTCTTTTTTTTCTCTTGCTCACAAAACAGAAACACAATTGAAAACTATCATTTCACCTGTTCTCGAGATCTGATATGATATTTTTCAATGGATATAATAATTAGGTGGTAATTTTGCTTTATATGAACTACAATTAGTTAGCTTATGTGTGTTAATCAATCAAATTATTCCCAGTTGCCCATTTTATGTAATGATGCTTCTTAAAGAAACCGGAGTTTTATTGATTGTAGTGACCTGGGAACGTGGCTGCAGTACCAGAGGAACAACTTCTAGATCTTTTTTGGAATTGTTGTCGGTAAGTTAGTTCTGTACTTTAAAGGTCCTATTACTGGAGACAAGAGTCTGTGGGATAGGAAAAATTGTCACATTCTTAGGGCTAGTATTTTTTAACCCCTCCTTTTTGTTACAGCACCGCTGCAAGTGTTGGTTATATGGAGAAAACAGCTTACTGCCACCACATCCCAGTAACAGTCAGCAGTTTGACTTCACTATTGGACCGTAAGTTGTTACTTTTAGTCTTATGGTTTTTAGATGGTGTTGAAGGTTTGTAGCTCATGTGAATGACTTAGGTGGAGTTTTGTTCTGTGAGCGCGATCATCATCACATCAAGGTTGGGATACTAGATTACAAACTAGTTTTGCCTATTGGAAAACAAGCTGACTTTTCCTTTTTTTCTTATCTGATTTATGAAATTTGTAGAAACTGTCCACCTTTTCTTCAAATTCTGTATTATGTTCAATTTCATTATAGGCTATTTGTTGTACAGATGATATTCATTGCTGTCCATCAGGAACTTCATGTGACTACAAAACTCTATCATGTGTGAAAACTGACAATGTTCATTCAATTAGAAGCCCAACAGCTAATGAATTATTACGTAATCCTGGATTGTTGTTTACTGGAGTACGTGATCATGTTTGCCCTGGTCATCAATCTACATGTGCTGATGATCAAACTTGTTGTCCATTGCCTGATAAATCATGGGGTTGTTGTCCACTGAAAAATGTACGTGTTGTATATTTGTATATGTATATATATTTTAAATGGAGTTTAAATATACATTGTTTATATAATTCACTATGAATTTTTTAGAATTTACTCCAGGGTTGTTCATTTTAGCATCAACATAGTACATTAAACTGATTAAATATTGTGCCTGGATATCATTTCACTTTTATTCTCAAACACATATTTTAAGTAGTAATGTTCGTGTGTATATCTTTCGTTTTTATTTATTTACTTATTTAGATGTCAAATTTCACTGCTGTCTATTTGTTTGACGTCTCTCTACTTATATCCTCTTAGTTTTTTTGTAATATTTCCGTAAAATTACCGTTCTGCAAATGCACTGTCTCTCTCATTATGTGTAATCTTGAGTGCTGTTAAAGGTACTATGGAGGAATTGTCAGTTCCATATCATTCAAGTTGTGGAAGTATTCTTCTTTAGTTACGTGAAATTGAAATTGTGTTAGGGATAACCTTAACAACCTAGGAGCTTGGCCGCTAAGGCCAGGAGAAAATCAGATAAGTTTGATCACTCACAATCTTTCTGATATTAGAAGAGAGACGATTGATTAAATGACTAAGAATCGTTTACAATAAAACATGTATTTATTTATTATCTTCACCTAGATTTCAATTTCGAGTATTCGTTTATGCACATTTTTTTCATTCTGTCGTCTTGAATGGTGTTCTCACTGTTCTGTCTTTCTCATTTTCAGTATAGGGTTGTGGAAATTGTTGAGTTTTAATTGAGCTCATGAACCGATAAATGTTAGACCACTATTGAAAACCTGGAGGTACTGTGGACGGCCCTTTCTTCCTAGTATGGGACTGATAATTATCATATGTTCACTGGTGACTAGATTTGAGAAGTAATTGTCGGGGTTCAAGTTCGAAGCCATAACCACAGGAGTTCAACTGTGTCGGATGTGGGGGAGTTACCTACCGAAGACAATGAAAGATGGTCACCTAATATTTTGGGTTGACTAAAGTCAGATATTAGTACCGTTGGATGCCGGCTCGTTGGTTTAAAGGTTAAGCGTTCGTGCGCGCGACTAAGGGTTCCGGGTTCGATTTCTGCGTGTGAGATCGTGAATGGGTACTGTTGAAGAGTCCCGTACTAGGACGAAATGGCCAGTGCTTCTAGGTCTTTTTACTTTCAGTCCTACTAAATCATTTCCACTCCTTTATTATTTATTCCGGCCATTTCACCTCGTTTTGTTAATGTAGTACAGAAGCTTAGATAATCTTATATTTATGCTAGACTGTTGATTATAACTAATTACTGACTCTTCAGTCTCTCTCTCTTTATATATATATATCCCCAAATGCCCTGGTAAGGCCGAGAGTGGGAAGAGTCAGCTCTCCCTCTCGAAATGCTCTCACATGTCTACGTGCATACAACCACTGCCAGGGAAGTCTTACTCACTGCCTTCTTGTGGCGGGGGTGTTGTTGACGAAATTGACAGGACGAAAAGCTAATGTCCAGCGCTTTAACCGGGGTGGTGGATACCAAGGATCCACCTAGGGGAGTTGGAAAACCCTGATTCCAAATCAATGGTGCACATTGGTTTCAGGATCTTATGGATAAAAATGGCGTCTGAGCCTACTGTTGATCACCGACTACTATGGGACTGCATCTCCTTAGGTTGCTCCACTTCTTTTTGGATTAGACCTTTAGGTTGAATGCTCCGAGTGTGGCCCCTTCAAGAAAACCATTTACTTCAGTTTGGTCACCCGGGCAGTATCTCAGCCCTAACATAAAACGAATGATTTATGTGGTGCATATCTATTCGATCCCTCTTTGTACCAATGTTTATGTGTTTAAATAAATTATATATATATCATGCATAGCTACACATCATCATATCTATCCATTCTCATTTATAATTAAACAACATATTATTTGATAAACAATCAATCCAATTATAACTAATTTTGCATAAACTCTAACTAGTGATTCGCAATTAGTTATTATTCTATAGACAATTAATCGATTACATAATGAAAATTTCATCGGTTTGTCATTAGTATACCAATATGAAATATTTGAAACAATGAAAAAAACGTTTGACACCATTTATGTATAATTGAGAGGTAGCTACTTACATGGTAACAATTAAAATTTTAATACTGTCTGTCATAAGTTCCGTCTACTTCATTGAATGGTGCAAGAATCGACTAATTATTGATTTAATTTAATGATTTATTCATAGGATAAGAGTATTATTGTTTCGATGATAGAATTTGCTTATTTTCAATTTAACAGAACAAATATTGTTCAGTTGTAAGTATACAATGTATTTATGTGTCATTATTAGTGTGTTAATGTTATGACTTAAGACGCTAATCAATATCATGTTTGTTATTACCTAGTCAGCATTCCGATTGTCAATTAGTTCACCTATATGTATTGCAAGTAGGATTAGTGACTTTCAATTGCACTGACTAATACATACCTACTAATGAACTACAATCAAGGCCTTAACATGCTTATTTGTCCTCAAGCTCCTTCTAACCCCAGTGATCAATCAGAAGATGACGATAGGATTCAGATTAGTTATCTATTGTACTCAATTCAATTATGATTCAAAAGTTATACAAAAATATATTTAAAATAACAACACAGCACACCAAATAAGAAATCTTGCTGTAAATAGAATTAGGCTGATCGCGGACTAAACAGTCTGTAACTAATTAGCAATAACTAAGGAACACTCAAATATGTAACGACAGTTAATAGATCCACTGATAGCTTACAATTAGGGAAACACAGAAATGTGGCATTACAGTTATCTACTAATTATACCATAAAAGTATAGATAATAACAATTTGAATGGTAGTTTTGAAATCCCTAACTTTTCCAATATTTTCATCCCGTTATAAGAGCTAGAGATTGCTAAATTTTGAATTTTCACATTATGATTAATATCTTCAATGGTCATGGAATATAGCGAATTGAATGAAGCGAGGGTTGTAAACTATTGGGTGGCATTTATGTGTTTTGAAGGATAGACACTCATCGCGATGCTAACAGGTCCTCAATTCAATCTCTAGTTGAGTCCTGGACCGAATTCCTAATGAGTTCCATGCTCGGATAAAACAAGTGTTCAGCATTTCCTGATTTTTAATGCTTGCTTAACCTACATAAAATAAATACTCTGGCACGTCTGAGAATAGGGAGAGTTCATTGTTCTTCTAGAAATGCTCTTATATTACACGTTATTATATCCTCTGTTAAGGGATACTCACTCACTACATTCACACAGCAGTTGTGTTGTTTACGAAAATGAGAGGAATAAAACCAGACGTCCGTCGGTTAAATGAGGGTTGGTAGATAACAGGAGTTCATCTAGGGGAGTTGAAAAAACCCTGACTTCAAACTAATAGTGCAGATTGGTATCAACGTTTCGAGCGAACAAATGGCGTACGAACCTACTATGGTTACCGACTACTATGAAAATCCATTGCTTAACGTTTCCATACTGGTTTGTGAATTAAGTGTCTACATCAAAAGCTCTACGAGTGGCTTCAGAATAACAGTACCCGTTACGATTTAGACTTATCAAGATAGTATCTCGTACAAATATTTTCATGATTTTTTGTCCTGCAAATACTATTTATTGGCTCCGTCCAAGTTATACAAGATTTTATATGAATTTAATAGATATCCATAGTTAATCTACAGAATGAAACTCTATTTCTGATACATTCACATTCTACTTTCCTGTCTCTTTCTATATCCCATATCTTGACAATCTTTAATGTTTCTTCTTATTATTATCATCATTAGTGAACTAAGAACACCATCAATTATTGTACAAGTTTATATTTTTTATCTCATAAAGTTTATATTAAAATAGATGTATAATAAAGAGATATTACTTCGTTACCTATCTACCTACCTACCTATCAACTTCCAGCTTTTTTTTTCGTATTGTATGTTAAGACATAAATATAAATGACTCTAATGTCCTGTTAATCATAGCAACAGAATAGTAATAATAATAATTGTTATTATTACATAGGATTGTTTATCTAATCAACCAAATTAATGTATGTATGTCTCCTTTTGTCGAGAATAGAAAACACAGTATGAAATAAACAGAATGAAATACCATTCGATAAGTATCATAAAATTTCATGGTATTTGTTAAAATTATTACATAACTATTTTAGTGGTACAATTAGGTTAGTTGTATATGATAATCAAATCGATAAGTCACTAACAGAACTAGACTAAGCCTTCATTTCCAATGGGATTAAATTTCGTGTGAATTAGTTGTGTTCTCTGGTGGTCGACGGCCTATGCTCCATTAGGAGTAACAGGCGTAAATAAGTAAGTTGTGTTCTCTGATTTGTTCTGAGTAGTTTAATCTTGAGGCTTTTACTGTCTTTCTACTTAATATGATTCATCAGCACTCATTTCGATTAGAGATAAGCTGTTTGTGTTTTTTTTTAAAATTAACTAACAACTCGTTTTCCTAGTTTAGATCACAAATTGATCTTAGGTAGACTACCATTGAAAACTAGGAAACACTGAACAGCTTTGAATGTACATCAACGGATTTCGGCTCAGTTGCCTAGGTGTTAAGCGTTCACAATCCCTTTGTTTGGGTCGTGGTTGCGTGTTGCCACTGTGAGGCCCCATACTAGAATGTAATAGCTGTTCAGTGCTTTCTGGTTTTCAATTATGATCTAGCTAAGACGACCATTTCGAGACTTAAAACTGTAAAAAAGTTTACTCTCTCTGCAAACACTAATGTATTAATAGTAAGTTGTTTTGTTAACCTTAATATTGATCGATTATTGTGTCGATACATTTGTTTTATCATTGTATATTTGCACATCTCTCATCGATTGTCTCTTACAAACTTCATTGTTCCTTCGTTTCTGTTGTTATTACGAGTGCTCTCTGTTTACATTCCTGTTCTCTGCAGTTCTGTCTTCTCAGCATTCTGCTGCCAGGCATTCCACTTACGACTGGTGCTACATACTACTTATGTCTGTTGACATAAGTAGCATACAACACATATTTATTTGCATGATCTCCCTTGATCTAATAGTTTCTAGTTTTCCAATTAGCTAATAAATTGGATTGGTTTTTATAAGTTTTATTGGTGCTTGAATGTTAAACTTGTAAAGCTGTTGTGACATTCCCCGTACTCTCCCCATTTTGGATTTCAAATGGTCGAAGAATCATTGACTAAACAGACATGAGTGTATGTTATATGAATATTCGTCAAAATTTAAATGAACGGTTCGACAGAAATTAGGCATGAAACGTATACAGAAGACATTAAACTGTATAAATTGTATTTGAAATCATCTCAGTGATTGAAGTTTAAGTAATTCCAGTGTTTTGCCCAACCTGTTAGTTAGAGTTTGTTTAGGGAAATAATAAAAATCATGATTGTATATTTAGGGATCAGATTTTTTTATACAAGCTAATACCTGTAGACTTGTAGTTCGAAAGAATTGTCAACAAACTTTAGATGACTAATAGATAATGTCTGATATATGTAATATATTATTGTGAATATTCAATTCTAAATAACATTCAACAGAGAACTATTCATCATCAAATATAACTGGATTTCCTTTTCATCTTTGTTGGAGACTCAAAAGTTCATATGAATAGTTCAACATAGAAAAGTTTATTAGCTATGTACTACTTCTAAGACTTTAACACTAGAGACTAACTGATCCAACTTGCGAGTTTAATCACATCTTTCAAGTTCAACTGGGAGAAAGAAATCTGATATTTAATCTTATTTACTAATATCAGTCGTTAGAGAAATTCCCCTCCAAAAGTCTGAAATTAATATTAAAATTGATATTCAGTTTATGAGTGTTCATTTCTTGACAGATATACAAGTCCGATAAGCACATAATCTTCCAATAAACACATTCCTGATATAGTCACATATGTTAGATTATTTCTTTGAAGTTTGATGCATTGAATTTCGTAATAGTCATTCATTCATAAATTAATTTCAATGACCAATGAGTTTACTTTTCTTACTAGACAAATTAATCTGGTTTCATCATAATAAGAGAGTAACCTCCGTTTAGTCACATGTTTCTAATTTCATACTTGTATTAAGCAATCGTAAGTTTACTCTAATCCCTTCCTAACTAGATCGTTTCAATGTTCTTGAAATAATATTATCAAATAACTTCCTAGATTCAACTGAAGTATGTCGTTACAATTAAAATAATCAAATGTTTAGTTTATTTGAATGAACATGTATGATTTAAATATTATTACCTATTTTGTACAACCAGTTCTGTTAGATGGTTGGGGGTAGTTCACAAGGAACCCTTGAAGACCTATATCTCTTGCTATTATGCAACGGTTGCTTAGTTTTTAATTCTAACTTTCAGCTACTTTGGTGTTTTTAATCATTTGTATCTTTGTTTTTTTTTTACTGGTTCGAATACACATTGTTCTCCTTCCCTTCTGTTCTTGTTCTGATTTGGGAAGAGTCAAGCGAAGTATGGAGTATGTTTAACGACTATTAGACAGTAGAATAATATAGCAGGTTATTTTGTAGAATTCAATCATTTTCCTAACAATATTAATTAGTTCCTTTAGCCATAGTGTGTAGTGATAGGTGTCTGATTGAACTAAGTTAACAGATTCTGGATTTTCAATTATGTAAGTCTAGATTTGTTCTTAAGTCAATTGAGTACAATAGACATTCTTAAATACGTAACGATCTAAAATTCCATATAAACATAAATATGATTTTCTTGAAGTTTTCACTTAACATGATCTCAGTTGATATTCGTCTTGAATCTTTTATAAAAAAATATTATTCTGTGTTCCTTTTTTACTTCAGGGTGTTTGTTGTGGTGATCATCTTCACTGTTGTCCAGCTGGTTCAATTTGTGATTTGGATACAAAACAGTGCATTTTACAAATTGAATACAATCAATCTACCACAAAAATAGTTTATGATGGGTTTACTATGCACAAAGCTAATCAAAAGTTATCAAATAGTTTATATTCACAACCAGTAAAATCTATTAGTACTATTGATACTTATGTACAAGCAAAATGGTGTGGAGCATGCGGTGACACTTGGGCTTGTTGTCCAGATGTTACTTTTACTTCATGGTCATGTTGTCCTTATGTGGGCGTAAGTTACGATGATAATTTTAATTGGATTATTATGTTATATTGATAGGTCTTGCTTCCGAAACGCTTAAACTGTCTTCCTAGTTAGTTCCGATAACTTAAAATTACTTCTACACATCAACTGGAATACTAGGGTGAGAAGACGCGAATTGCGAATAAAAGCTTTACTTCAAGGTTAGTTTATGCTATCGACCAAGTTGCAATACAGCCACTAGTCTAGGTGACTCGACATTTCGTGCACTCTGTTGAGATAAGATGGTGGTTGGAGGTAGTCAATAGGAAACCCTGGGCCTAGGTTTCATGCTGTTTGGCACTCGTCAGCATGGTTTACCTATAATCTTGAGGGAACTGGTACTCCCTGACAGATTCGATCCCGTACCACCCAGCTTCACAGTCAGAGACGTTAACCCGAATTATTTTCATCTTTAATGGATTTTGATGAATAATTAATTAATATCAGTTCACTGTCTATAAAATATCTAAATTATCAATGTGTTATACATTTTTTAAACTCAATTATTTACTACTTAATTGGTTTGTGTAGACTGTAGGAATTTCTATTTTATTTTTAATTTAGGGAGAATGTTGTATTGGACAAAATACTTGTTGTCCTCCTGGATCACGTTGTTTAAATAATGGGAAATGTGAAAAGATCCAAAAGAATATCTTCAAATCATCAGCATCTGCTTTAATACCATCTATTTCAATGAATAACAATGTACAAAGACCACATTTCATTAAACAAAATAATGAAAAAGAAAACTTCCAGATAGAAATGTCCAACAGTGCTAAACCTGCTCAAAGGAATATCCTTCTTCTGTAAGTAGATTTTCTTTCCCTTTTTTGTACGTTTAAAATGGTTTTTCTCGTGGTCTGTGTCTGATGATTTTGGAAGTTGATTATAGAGCCTGTTTATTGACTTGTTCACTTTAAGGTCATTTGATCAATGATTTTATGGTTGACCGATGATACTATGTTTATTTTACCAAATAACTCAATGACTTAATCAACACAAGAATAATTTCACATTTTATGGTTTAAAAACTCCTTACCCTAGTGTCCAACCAGAAAACGATGTTAAGAGCGAGGTTTCAGTAGACCTAGGACAGTGTTTCGCGCACTGGAATCATTGGTCATGGTTACACTTGAGGAGGAAACCAAAAGAGGAAGTTTAGAGTTGAAAGTCGACGTAGGAGGTATAATCGGAACTGAAGAGGGAGATCGATTATGAATGCAGTGATTTTGAGTGTTGTCACAGGTATGAGAGTGGTTTCTACTTCCCGGTTGCCCACACAGTGGAATAGTCTTTCTAGAGGTAACTGAAAAGGAAATTCAGTTAGAGTTGGTCTTAGTCATCTGAGAGCGTGACCACAATGCCCAAGGGATGGCTGCTTGAGGTCGGTCACACACGACCTTTCTGTGAGTAATTTTCGTGTTAGCTCCGTATTGTTAAAACCTTACCGTCGGAGACCGATATCCGTGGGATAGAGTGGTGTTCATTTTTAGGATCGACCTTTTCTAATCCCACCCCACCTTGTGGGAAGGCAGCATCGTTATACTGGTTGTCTGAAGGAAACATCTTACTGCCGTCACACCTCTGTACAGTCACTAGTATGAATTCGCCTTCGAACTTTGAGTTTGCTGCTTTTAGTCTTACCGCTCTTCAACCGACCTGTCTGGTATAGCAGGACCTTGTGGAATCATTGTTCCAGCCAGTATAACTCGATTGGTTCATCATGATAAGCAAGCTCGACCATCACATCAAGGTAGCAGCAACATTCGGGATGTTAGGGAACCGATTAAATCGTCTATTAGTTCCTATTGGTCTCCATTCAAAAACTCAAGGAATTATATACAAGAATTTCCTGGCCATGATGTATTACAAATAAGGAACCAAAATGAGGGATCAATCCATGAAAACACTATCTGTTGAACTGAGTCATATAGTGGTAGTTGGAGATTGCCTGACTGAGGTTCGCGTGCTTATTATAACAAAACGGTTGAAAACTTTAGATGAAATGAAGGGTTAAAATCCTTTGCAATGATGCAAGTGCATTCACTCTTTCTCTTCCCTTAAATCCACACTCTAAATTGCCTTATAAATGTTTTTCTTATCCACATAAACCATATTTTGTTCTTAAGTCGTATCTCCAATCTATAATCTTTTCTATTACCACTAATACCGTTACTACCTTGTATTATATTGGGATTTTCCCTGACAATTCGGTCTGGTTATGCTCATAAAGTGTGACAAATCGAATCTATGTATACACATGTACCAGATTCTACGTTGTGTACCACTGGTTGACTGACTGACTGAATTTGTACATAGCTTATTTGTAAATGATACTGAATTGAATAATCAGTTTATAGTTAACTAAGAATAATTTATTAACACTGAATTATGTAGCAAGGGTTTTCCCGTCAAATGGAAGTTTATAATTAAGTAGGATATAAGAAGGAGATAATCCAAGTACTTAGTGATTATTTAATAAAAAATATGTGTAAGTTTTTGCATGGAATAGTTCTGCAAGTTTAACTCTCCTCCCTAACCCCCCTCGTCCCGGAAATACTATCTGCTCGTGTACAACATATTCTATCATTGCTTACCTATTAGTGTATTAAATTAAATTAGTTCCATTTACCTAGATATCCATTGAGGAAACATAGCGCAACCGTGAAAAAAATCTATCAATATTATTTTCGTCCTTTACACTAATGATAGGTTTATAGTTCTAATCATCACTGTCGGACCATTTTCGCGTTTGTGATGATTCTTTCGCTTCAAATGAAAAGTCTTGCTCTAAAACTGTCCTGCTTTAGCGCAAGTTAAATACATTGATTGCTTCAGTTTCATCAGTCCTGGTGAGCTGATGTCTGATGAAGAAAATCTGGATTAGTATTTTCCAACTAGTATCACTTTTAGTGTAGGCGAGATATCTGTCTGCCAACTGAAGGATGAGTTTACTATACATTAGTTCATTTCATTCTACTTTATGTGTGTTAAGTTTGTCTTACATTGTTCCTAGTCGCTCCCTTTCCACTCCTTTGTATATTGTTTTATACTATTTATTTACATTCAGTAAGCAGTTGTATTCCCAACAATTTTTAAACTTATGTTGTAACGTAAGTTGAAGTGTAATATTCTGAAATGTTCACACATACTTAAAACGTTTATTGTACTTATCATTTTATTTATCATTATAATTACTGTACCTTAACCACTGCAGTGGTTATCCACAGTTTCGTGCATTTGTTTGAACGCAACAGTTTCCATATTGTTTGCTCTTGGTTCGGGTTTCGGTTGTTCGTAAACTGTTATCAAATTTAGACACAGCTATCAACTGTCCTTTGTACTATCGTATGCTATAATTATTCCTTAAGTTACTGTTACAGGAAGCCTTTGCTATTTTCATTCTTGAACGACGCGTTTAGACGCCTAGACACCTCACAAGTTGAGGTTTGTAACTAAATTTTGTGTATTATTCAATAAAGAACCGCTATTGTAGACAAATCGTTGTTTTGGAACTTCGATTTTGCGCGTATCTCAATCGGGGTTACTTGGACGCTTCGATAGAATTAACAGTTCTCAACTTCGGTCCTAATTGGTGTGGATACTTGCTGTAACGAATATTGGTCGGAATTTGGTTTGGCTAATTTGTCCCAACAATGACGAGGACGAGAAAAATGAAGTACAACGGCGACAGTTCCGAAGATACAGACGACTCGAGTGCTGAAAATACTGTTCTTTCAGTTTTTAAGGTGAACTCACCAACTTCCTTAAATCTTGCTTTTGATAATGTTAAACCAAACCCCGAAGATAGCTTTCCTTTAGTAGATACCTATGTGGAGACTGGATATCGAATAGAAAATGAAGCAGTTTCTAGGGAAAAACAGGTAGAGAAGATTGAGTTAGAGATTCGAGAGCCTCAAATTCGTAAGCGATTGTTGGAATTAACACCGAAACCTTTAAACAAAGTGAGAAAATCGAGGGAGATTACCGAGTTATCTGGATATCGATCCGATAGTGTATCAAGTACATTAATCGCTAAGTGTCATCGTTTACTCTGTCGGCGATGTTAACCTTGAATCCCTTTATGAATGTCCAAAATCTTAGAGGACTTCCGTCGAATTTCATGATCTCTATCTTCGGTAGGCTTGCCGTCATGAATAGTGACTTGACGTTATCTACGTATGCTTTAAGTTCTAACTCGTCGCTCATAGCTTACGTTGCGTTCAAACAAATGCACGAAACTGTGGATAACCACTGCAGTGGTTAAGGTACAGTAATTATAATGATAAATAAAATGATAAGTACAATAAACGTTTTAAGTATGTGTGAACATTTCAGAATATTACACTTCAACTTACGTTACAACATAAGTTTAAAAATTGTTGGGAATACAACTGCTTACTGAATGTAAATAAATAGTATAAAACAATATACAAAGGAGTGGAAAGGGAGCGACTAGGAACAATGTAAGACAAACTTAACCATGTGTGCCATCAGGATAGGAGAATATTCGTAGGTTAGTAGTATTCGATCATAAGTGTCTTCGAAGCATCGCTTTTGTATTTTGAGATCTCTTAGTGGGCATTACTGAGGTTAGGGTTAGGATACTAGGTAAGGATGACAATTCAATTGATGAAGTAGTAAATGCTCATCAACTGAGGTGGTTGGAACATGTGCTACGTAAGCCCAATCACTGCCTACCTCGACGGGCGTTGTTGTCTGATATAGGGATAGACTGGATAAAACCTAGGGGCGCCGAAACTAAAATATCGCACCGATCTATGAAGTCATTGACAATCGAACTGAGCCCATGTTAATGAATGTAGACTACGTGATTGGTATCTGCGTGATTATGGTAACCGATTTTTGGAGACTCTAGGTTATACAGGTCAAAACCGTTTATGATAGCACAGATGCATTCACTTCTGGTCTGCCTCTTGAACCTAACTACCTAAATCTCATTAAGCCTTTATGTCGTTTTGTATACACATTTTTTTTATTACTTCGGATACTATTACTACTTCTACTACTCTGGAATTTGCCTTAAAATAATCCCTTCTCACTGTACTTATGTAATATGGTAGATTGAATTGATGCACATATATATCAGGTTCTGTATTGCATATGACTGCGATTAATCATTGATTAAATTAACTGGCATCGTCTTAGTTTGAGATGACCTACAAAATGAACAGGTTCCAAACATTCTCTATAGCTTTTATACAGTTTACCTTGGATTTTATTACAAAAACCTTCATCGGTACTTGAGGGGTGATTATATTATAAAATTGCAATATTTCTAATTACTTTCCTTTTCTCAATAAATGCATATTAGTGTTCGTCATTATCGACGTCTTAAACGACAATTGCATACAATTTGTCCTGATTCATTACACTATTGTGGTAAATCTGAACAATGTTGTCTTTCTAATAAATTTGGTTATACTTGCACACCGAATGAGGTATGTCCCTTTTTTTGTATTTTTATTCCGAATCAATTATAATTGTAATTTTTATTAATTATTGTTATGTTGCACAGTGAAAAGTTTTTAGCTAACGAAATAAAGTACTATGACTTTAAGTATCTAGAGTGATTTGTGAAATTAAGTTTGATTATGTACATTCGCTATTCATCCTCTCAATTTGGTAAGCAACACCAACAGTGTGAGAAAGCAGTTGCCATATGGGAGAATTTCGAGAGGGAGAGCGGACTTTCCCCACCGTCGATCGTACTATGGTATTTGGGGGTGGATGTCTGGCACTTTAATCGGGTTGGTAGATATGAAGGGTTCATTTAGGGAAGTTGCAAAACCCTGATTTTAAACTAATGATGAACATGGGCTCCAGAATCCTGATGTCACCGGCTACCATAGGATTGGATCTCTTGACTTTGCTCCACTGTCTTTTGGATTAGACCTCTGGATGAAAGGCTCGAGGAATGTGGCCCCCTAAGGAAATCATTTTCTTCGTTTTGGGCCATCCGAACAATATTTCATGTCTTACACAAATCGAATGATTCATGTGGCGCATATACATTCGGTACCTCCTTGTACCAATGTTTATCTCTTTAAATAAATAATTGGGACTGATTACAGACCGTGTTAAAGTTATCAAAACAGATATGTTGAATAAATTACTATGAATTTCAGTATGTTTAAAATTCAATATTATGTTACTTGTATATGTGTTTATTTATTGTTACACATATATTTTCACTACATAAAACGTTATCTTCATATAAATAGCATTGGGATAACTAATGGATCATTGTTGTTAGAATGGGGATTTGTGGAGATTATATCAATTTTTAATAGTTGGATTGACGAGTCGATCTAAGCTAGATCACCAGTAAAGAGCACTTTCGATGCTTCCAGGTTTAGCTTAGATTGACTCATGAATTCAACTAATAGGATGATTGTTGTTCTGTGTTGTTATCTTCAAATTGTCTTCGACATTTTTTTTGTTCCATTTTTTTCAGTCCATATGTTGTGAATCTAGTATGAATACTTATTGTCCAATATCCAAGGATTGTTCTCTAGACGGAAAATTCTGTGTTGATAAGCATTAGTCTCACTATCATCATAGTTATTGATGATTGGATGATTATCATTCTGTGTTATGTGTATGTATGTGTGTGTGTGTTTATGGATTACTACAAATCTTGCCATTATTATAAATTTGGGTTTGTAACATCTCTTATCCATGTTACTATTTGTGATTCTATTCAATATAAATTCAATTTTCATTATAATTACTGTTTAATATTTTTCTATTGTTAAGATATTTTCATCTCTTTATTAAATAAATTTCATTTTGTGTTATTTAACATTGAATGTGTTCTTTTACACTTGATCTGTAATTGGTTTTATACTACAATGTAACAGAGATAAGTGAAGTTGATTTCATATGTGAATTTACATTCAGTTGACTAGTCTCGGTTACTTACTTGTTTACGCCTGTTACTCCTCGTGGAGTAGCATAGACTGCCCACCAGCACCTTCCATTCAACCTTGTCCTGGGCAATCCTTTCCAGTTGTTTATTCATCCTTTTCATATCTGTTTCTATTTCTCGACATAATGTGTTTTTTGGCCTTCCTCTTTTCCGCCTCCATTCAGGATTCAAAATTAGGGCTTGCCTCGTGATGCAGTTTGATGGTTCCCTCAGTGTATGTCCTATCTAGTTTCATCGTCTTTTCCTAATTTCCTCTTCAACCGCAAGCTGGTTTTTTCTTTGCCACAGTAGGCTGTTGTTGATGGTATCCGGCGAACGGATATTGAGTATCTTGCGTAGACAACTGTTTATAACTACTTGTACCTTCTTGATGATGGTTGGTGTGGTTCTCTAAGTCTCAACTCCGCGCAGTAGAACTGTGTTGACGTTCGTATTGAAGATTGATTATTCTCTAAAATATAAAAAATTCATAGATTATCATTTTTTTTAGTTACTTGTTAGTTATTTATGTCTATTAATTCTATTAAAACATTCAACTACACAGTTGAAATACACATGAAACAGGCTTTAAAATGATATGTAGAGAATGGTTTAATCACTAACGAATATATATCAGTTGGTTAAAAATCTCAACTTGTGAAGTATCTATGGCGATTAATGCGTCTATATATTTGGAAAGAGAAAGGCTTCTTGTAGTAACTACATAAAAAGTGATATGACATACGATACCGAAAATGGTCACCAGTAACTATGTCTAATATTAACGAAAATTTATCAACAATCAAAGTACATGCAAACTAAGATCTTGATTAAGATCATGAACCGATTGATGTTACACCATGATTGGAAACTAAGAGCCATACAAATAAAGGGGGTTTTCACGTTTAACCAAAGATACAAGAAGATTTTTTTCAAAAAAAACCCAGAAATAATTCTTATATGGGTTAAGAGAAAGTAGTTATAATGAATTATGCATCAATTGTTATTAGTTCATGTAAATACTTGGCGATGTTACGCAACGGTAAATGAAAGCTACATTATAAATTGCTAGAAATGGGACTGCCTACTGAATAATAATAAGTAGTTGAAACTAATACACGAATGGCAGGCGAATAATGAATGAAAATATCCGTCATTAGCTGGAATGTAGATATGACGTTTCAGATAATGATCCGTTTAAATTGTACTGTAATATATTTTATCACTTTTTTTCACATTGTATTTAAGTTGCTCATAGTGATCATCAGATAAACACAACTGTATAAGAAGAAATGTCCTGTTTTATTTGAGATCCACCTGAACGAAAGTACACTGGAACAGTAAAGATGCGTTTGGTAGGATTGTCGACTTTGAACAAACTTTTTATCCATTCATAGTCTAGCACGAGTGTGTGTTGACTCAAGTTGTCATACTGCTTTAACACGACAAGGTGATAGACAAGAGAATCGAAATGATGTAGTTGCAATGGTAATGAGGAATACTGAACTTTGAGAATATGTTCTGAGAAAAATGACGGGAAAGGTATGTGTGAAGGAATACTGTAATTAAAGATCGAGAGGAGGATAAAGAGTATATGCCACCTCGCCATTGTGGTCGATTTAGAGACATGTCACATATGATCTCTAACCACTGAGAGGGGTTGATTCGCGTACCACAATCAGGTAAACGGGATCTATCTGCTAGGCTCAGACCAAAAATTAATAGTTTTCATATAACCGTTAAGATAACTGGAATGAATTTGCTTTATTATAATTACCGGTACACTATGGTCCGCTACAATATGGAGAATTATTGCATACGTCACTGTTTTTCCGCTTTGGCCCGGAATCACAACCGCGTACAGCCTACATGTAACGTGCTCTGTCATTACCAACATATACTGATTCCCATTAGACGTTTTATATCATATTGATTACTATGAAGATGACACAGGTATTCAGTGTTTGACAACGCTTTTACCAGTAACACCTAATATAACTCGTACCCATCAAGAGAAATCAAAAGATAAAATCGAGGAGATCAGAAGTTGTATTTGACGATTGCCAATATATCGGAATTGTCTGATCTAGTCTGGCTAACGATTGTAGTAGATGTTGAGCACGGCGTTCCCACACGTGATCTGGTGCGGATGCATGACCAAGCGTCTTCAGCTAGATGAGTCCATTAAAATTAATGTGGTCAGCATCCAATATCGAAGACTTACAAACAGAGTTATTGATTTTGGAGATTTATTACAAAATAATCACAAGCCGATAACTGTCGAGTGACAAGCAACGCTCGATAGAAGTTTCATGTTAATTCATGACTCCTCGTCAATGGGTATCAGATTATCACTTCATTTAAGAATAGGTGTAGTGCATATAATCTTTACGACTTGATGACAGAGGAATACAAACTATATGTGATCTACTACGTAAGCTGAGACAGATATGGTCAATACTATAGGAGATCATAGGCTTCTGTCTTCATATTCATACAGGTAAAAACAAGATGGTTGTTCAAATATCTTTATTTATATCAATGTTTGTGGATAATTGTTTGTATGAATCGGACTTGTAAATCGTCAAAATATTCGACAGAGACAATATAAATTAAATCAGAGGATAGTTAGAAATCCGAAACTGAATTCATTTAGATATCATCAGGTATATTCTAGTAGAATGAATCTATCAGTCAGTATACAAAATGTTAAACAAAGAACAGATCACGAAGGGAAGACGAAAATCAAAGTAGGCGTGTGGATATTAGTATTGGATTTATGCACAATAATCAATCAGATTAGATGTCAATAGATTAAGCTATTAATCACTTGCACAAGAATGTAACTAACTCACCACATTCTTAAATATATGTTCCTGATGATGTTGTCCAGCAGGACAATGAAGTATTCACAATCAAATTGTCAAACTCACAAGATGAACATTCTTCTCTCTTACATTTTAAATACAATACCATTTGTAATCAAATCCCTACAAATGGTATGGTGATGCAATTGTAGCTGTAAATAAATCTCCAAAATCAATAACTCTGTTTGTAAGTCTTCGATATTGGATGGTGACCACATTAGTTTTAATGGACTCATCTAGCTGAAGGCGATCGGTCATGCATCCGCACCAGATCATGAGTGGGAACGCCGTGCTCAACTCCTGCAATCGCTAGCCACATTAGATCAGACGATCCTCGATATATTGACAGCCTATCAAATATATCTTCGAACCTGCTCGTTTTTGACTCTTGATTTCACTTGGTGGGTACGATTCATATTAGATGTTACTGGTTGAATAGTTGTCAAACTCCGAATACCTGTGGCATGTTCACAGTAAAGTTTGTCCTGTATCGTCTATGATAATTCAGAAGAGTAAAATTCACTACCTATCGCTTTGTGTACAAACAGACAAATGGAATCGTTTCATAACATATTTAAATGTTCCTTGTGTGAGATTTTTTTTAGCCAAAATGATTTCTGAATGTTTCAAACCTTGGATAATGTTTCTCTCATTTATAATTCTTTCGCTGTTTTCCATTCGAAAACCTTAATTTCTGTGTTCACGCACAATGTTTTCTAACTTTAGACATTATAGTTTCACTTTACTGAAACTGGTATGTGCTACTGATATCGACAAATATAAGTAGTATGTATCACCGATCGAAAGTAAAATGCCTGTAGGTAGAAAGTTGAGAAAATCGAAAAGAGGACAAGAACAGTGAGCAATTGGTATAGAAATGAAGGAACAACAAATTTTGAGAAAGTTGATGGACATTTTACAAATGAGTTATTTACTGTATGGTTTTCAGATTTAAACATGGCTAACAATGGAATCCAGGACAATAGTTACTTTGTCCTATTTGGGACTTCTTAACTAGATGTACCTACATCCCATAGTTGATCTTCACTCCAGAACTCGAACCCAGTATCATCCACTTCAAACGTCATAGCGTTATCCAATTGGCTACTGAGTCGCAGATTTTACTATAACATTCTGTAATTTTGTACTAAAATGATGGAAAGAAAAGTCCAAATTCGATTGATTTATCGATTATGAGTTTTATTCAAGATTAATTCCATTTTGATTCAATGGAATGATTACTCAATGGAGTATTTGTTACTGCTATCCCAGTATGATATTTTCTTCTGTATAATATGCGAGATATTCTTAGATTCCATTGATATGAACTATGTAAGCTCAGTAAGTGATTTGTTATAACTGAGTATGTGATTTCATCTTAATTAATAATCAAAATGGGTATACAATCAATATATAAATGAGTGTATTTTCGACTAGAGTCGTTGTCGTCGTCGTGTTTTGAGGATTAATAAATCTTCACATATACCAGCCTTTGTATTTTTACTTTCACGTCGTGGGAATTGCAGAGGTTCCACGTTCCGAATATAAATGATAAGCATTTCCGACATAACAATCATCGACGACCACATATAACAAGTAGCATTCAATTCAAATGTTATAACGATTGGCAACGGGAATTTTGGAAAATATTGAAAAGTTATAACAGTACACTAATACATTTGGTTATCCCTATCTGTGTTCTCGTTTATTATAAGACAGTTAAAGACGTTGCTTTTTTCTTTAATGATTTGTTACTTTTCATGATTCTTCAACCTGCATATCCAAATTGAAATTCCAGATTGTCTATGACAAATTATTATTTGAACAACAATTTTATTTTGGGTATGTTAAAGTAAATGAGAAATTTAAAGGAATTAGTCTCTTTGATAAATAACGATCATGTAATATAAGAAGAAGAAGAAGATTATCACAACTATGTGATGATATATTAGCGCAATACATCTCGAACAATCTGAGCACACATAATATACTTGTTAAGAACATTTATATATAAAACGATAAAAGGTCAACTAGACTGGAAATGGGTATAAGAGGAGACAAGGATAATAACAAGAGTAATAATAGTAATAATCCATGTCTGGTAGAAACAGGTGTCTACCTCAGTACAATGGAAGATGGTTGCGCAATTTCGTGGATTGGTTGAGGTTAGACATTAACACCATTGGATGCCGGCTCAGTGGTCCAGTAGGTTAAGCGTTCGCGTGCGAGACAGAAGGCCATGGGTTCGAAACCCGTGAGCGGGATCTTGGATGCGCACTGCTGAAGAGTTCCACAATAGGACTAAACGACCGTTCAGTGCTTCCAGGTTTCCAAAGGTGGTGGTCTAACATCAATCGGTTCATGATCTCAATCAAAAACTTAATAATCTCCACAACCCCTAAACTGATAATAATAATAATAATAGTAATAGTAATAATAATAATAATGTGAACACAATTTGAAACCTAATCACTTTGGATATTAAGCCAATATCACCGGGGCTATGTTTAAGGTGTGTGGTCACACATACATAGGGAGGAATAATCGTGATCACAAAATTAGGATGTATGAATATGTACCTAAATGGTTGCAGAAACAAGTTGAATCAAGTAACCCAATATGAGTAGAGGATAAACATCCATTATCCTTTATTGTTAAACTTATAATCAAAACAGACCATAAGATTGATCTTAACTCGGCTTTTGTGGTGTTGTACAAAAGTGTAAAAGGGTGTATA